TAAAATAGCAATTATTATCCCTGTTTCACAGATGAGAAATTGAGACCCAGAGAGGTTAGGTATTTTCCCAAGATCATACCATTAGTAAATCGTAGAGCAGAAAGGTTGACTCCAGGACCCAAACACTTAACCACTCTATAACCCTGTGGAAATTCAGTTCTCTGAAACACATTCACTACTCAGTGAGAATCCACAAAATAGCTTCTCCCAGGCTTTATTTATATCAGGAAAAGCTGTTAGGCTCCCTTCTAGTAAAAGTGGGTGGCTTGCATTTCTGTGAGCTTATCTAATCTTGGCTCTGTTATTGCCTTATTTTTCCTTTGCCCAATCCCCTTATTTGTTTATTTTACTTTTCTAAACTGGCATACATGCTTTGTGGAATGTGGTAGGGAATATATATAATTAGTTTTTTCCAAGTATTTATGAGATGAATCTACCCATCACCAGGAAAACATAATTTCAATGACCAAATCGACTATGTCGTCCCAGTTATGTAGTTAGTGACTCATTTTCCACGTCCTCATTTCTCTTACAAAGTCATGTCTGTGTGAACTAGAAAGAGAAATGAAAATACCACCTAGGTCTTTCAGTTTCCTACTTAAAATGTCGGAGTCTCTGGAGATGCATTCCAGAGTTTTACTGGCCATGTCTGCCCTAATTGGCCACAGAAGTGACAGAATTCAAGCCAGGATGTGTCCAGCAGGAGTCTAAGTACACAGGCAATGACCTGGTTGGGCTGTAAATGGGTGGGGAAATGGAAAGTCCTTGGTTATATTAGGCAAAGAGTCAAGAGCAAAAAACTAAGCTGAGAGTGGGGTGATGGCAGGTCAGAAGCCATTTTATGGGGGGAAAAAACTATCAGAATGAGTTTAAAGTATAGCACATGCATGGAAACAGATGTGCCAGGAGAGCAGGCTAACATGGGGTCAGTGGGCTCCCTCAAATATGCTAAGCTGTTGGCACCTCCATCTTTTTTTCATGCTGCTCCTTTCCCTTGCCTCTGTCCACCTGACAAATATCTACTTATTTTTTTCCAGATTTTGCTTACATACCTTCACTATGAAGCCTTTCCTGTACTCCCCCATCCCATCTACAGCCAGCCCCCACTTATTCATTCTTTTTTGTCCCTTCCCCAACCATGAACCTGTGGCCACATCTATCTGGAGCTTCACAGCACTGATAAGTGGTGTGAATTTTTATCTTAGCTCTCTGATTTGAGACATGTCACATTGCTGTATTTTCCTAAATGAAATTTAGAAAATATTAGTCCCCAAGTGCCAGGATATTGACGCACTCAATATCTCTATGAGTGTCTCTCCCCCTTTCTCAGAATCCCCGGTGGCTCACAGTCCAGAAAATATGGGAAATGGCCCTTTGGTCTTCAATACACCTCCAGTACATTGTTGAATAGAAGTGGCAAGAGCAGACATCTTTGTCTTGTTCCTGATCTTAGGGGCAAAGCATCCAGTCTTTCACCACCACCTCTGATATTAGCTGTGGGTTTGTGTAGAGACCTTTGTCTCTACAACTTGAGGCAGTTCAATTCTAATCCTAATTTGTTGAATGTTTTTATTGTGAAAGGGTTTTGGATTTTATCAAATGCTTTTTCTGCATCTTTTGAGATGATTATGTAGGTTTTGTCCTTTGTCCTATTAACATGGTGTACTACATTGTTTGATTTTTTTATGTTAAACCAACTTTGCATCCCTAGGATAAATCCCATTCCATTGTGGTGTATAATCCTTTTACATGTTGCTGCATTTGGTTGACTAGGATGTTGTTGAGGATTTTTGCATCTATATTCATAAGAGATATTGGTCTGTAATTTTCTTTTCTTGTGATGTCTTTGTCTAGTTTTAGTATCAGAGTAATATTGGTCTCATAGAATGATTTGGGAAGTGTTCCTTCATCTTCTATTTTTTGGAAGAATTTGTGAATAATTAATATTATTTTGTTAAGGTTTGGTACAATTCCCAGTGAAGCTATCTAGGCCTTGGTTTTTACTAATTACTAATTCTTTATCTTTACTTGTATTAGGTTGTACCAAAAAAGTTAATATAGCAAGCCTAAGACTCCTATCGATAGATAGTCCTACTTGCAAGATTGACTCTTGGGTGGCATCTGAGCACTTGGACTTGTGGAGTGTTCCCACCATTCCCTAAATAATAAGAGTGGCACCCTGTGCCTAAACTGTGCAAAAAAAATATGGTTTATGCTAAACATCTGCTTTTCTTCTAGGAGTCTAGAATTTTCACATGTGCTAGGTACAGGGTGTTTATGTGACCAATCCCCAATAAAAATGTTGGACACACACTGCCCTGGCCAGTGTTGCTAAGTGGTTAGTGTCAGCCCGTGCACCAAAGGGTCACGGGTTCAATTCCCAGTCAAGGGCATGTACCCAGGTTGCGGGTCAATTCCCATCTCCAATCGGGGCACATGCAGGAGGCAACCAGTCTATATGTCTCTCTCACATCAATGTTTCTCTCTCTCTCCTTCTCCCTCCCTCCCTTCCACTCTCTCTGAAAAGCAATGGAAAAAATATCCTCATGTGAGAATTAACAAAACAAAAAATGTTGGACACTAAATCTCTAATGACTTCTCCTGGTGGACAGCATTTTACACATGTTGTCACAGTACAGTGCTGGAGGAAAAAAAGTACATTCTGTGTCATTTCATAGGTAGAGGACTCTTGAAAGCTTGTACCTGGCTTCCTCTGGACTTCACCCCATGAGCCTTTTCCTTTGCTGATTTTGCTTTGTATCTTTTTGCTATAATAAGTCATAGCCATGAGTATGAATACATACTGAATCCTGTGAGTTCTCTTAGTGAATTACTGAACCTGGGAGTGGTCTTGGAGACCCATGACACAGATTTATTTAGATTTTGTATTTCTTCTTGAGTAAGTCTCAGTAGTTTGTGTCTTTCTAGGAAGTTATCTATATTTGGGGGGCATACAGTTATTTATAACATTTTCTTATAATCTTTCCAATTTCTGTAAGGTCAGTAATGATGCCCTTCTTTTATTTTTTTATTTTAGTAACTTGGATATTTTCTCTTTTCTCCTTGATCAGTCTAGCTAAATTTTTGTCAATTTTTCAAAGGACAAGCTATTATTTCCATTGATTTTCGCTATTATTTTTCTATTCTTTTATTTTGTTTCTTTCTACTCTAGTATTTTTTGTTGTTATTGTTTCTTCCTCTGCTTGCTTTAGTTTTGTCGCCTTTTTCTCATTTCTTAGGGTGAAAGGTTAGGTTATTGATTTGAGATCCAGTGGGTTGTTTTTTTTAGGAGTTTTCAGCTATAAATTTCCCTGTAAGCACTGCATTAACTGTATTTCATACGTTTTGGTATTTTCTAATTTCCCTAGTGATTTTTTTCTGTGAACCATTGATTATTTAGAAATATGTTATTTAATTTTCTCATATTCATGAATTTCCCCCAAAAAAGGTTTTTGTTATTGATTTCTAATTGCATTCCACTGTGGTTAGAGGAGACTTTTGATGATTTTAATATTTTTTAATTTATTGTACCTTGACTTATGACCTATCATATGGCCTAACCTGGAAATGTTCCATGTTCACTTGAGAAGAATGTATAACCTGCTGTTTGGGGGTTGCAATGTCTTTTACTATTTTCCCTGGTCTCCTTTTTGAACGCCAGTATGAGAGTAGCAGAGTCGTGGATATTGCAGCTTCATTTTCTTTCCCTCCTTCTGGTGTGAGAAAATAAGCAAATAATCTCAAATTAACCTAATTTCCTCTTGATGCCCTTCCAGATTCCAAAAAAATCCCAGGTATGCACGGCTTTTCCATACCTAGCTGTGATATCTCTTCTGGGATGCATGAGGACAAGGAATGTGTCCCTGCCCACAAGCAAAGCAAAATGAGTGCTCTTGCTCTTCCGTGCTCTTAATGGCTGCCTCAGAGACACTCCTACTCAGGAGTTGGTCAGTCAGTGCTTCTTTAATCACTGAACTTGGTCCCAGACCATCACACTATCGGCAGACCAAGGGAGCTCTGGTTAGGTGAATTAGAGCTTTTACCTGCTATAATAAATTCCCACTGGCCCTTTGGCAAGGCCTAAAATTGTCCCTTCTATTCCTGTTTTCCCAGATATCAGAAGTGAATAACCACATCCTCTTCTTTCCCTTTGGTATCTGTAAAGGATCAATTTGGCTGCAACTAACAGAAAACCAATCTAAGTCTAACTTGAGTAATTAAGAGTTTATTTTTCTCATTAACAAGAAGTGTGGGGGCAGACAATTACGAGTTAGTGCAATTGATCAATGATACCGTCAAAGACCCAGGCTCTTTCCATTTTTCCACTGCAGCAACCATAGCAGGTGTACTTCATCCTTATACCAATTGTCTCATGGTCACAAGATGCAACTTAAGACTAAGAAGAGGTAGTTACAGAGACAAAAGGCTTGCCAGCATATTACAAAGCTTTTCTAGAATATTACTCAGCAACTTCTATGTCTCATTATTTAAATCTAGGTCATAAATCACCCCTAGACCAATCACTGAAAGGCTGAAAAATGGGTAGAGAAAAGGGGAAAGGAAAGAGGGAGGGGAGCAGTGGCCCGTCAACCAAAAATTGGCTGCCACACCCTCCTTCATAACCTTAGTAAAGAAGTTAGGGCAAGGGAGGGGGAGGAGGACTTCAGTCAGGCTGAGGTTGGAGGATGGCACGCCATTCAGCTCTGCCCCGGTCCACACCTGTTCTAAACAGAATCAGTCCCCCTTTCTAAAAATCTAAGTTCCTTGGCCCCTTCTATAGCAAAGTCTCTAACCACAACATAAATAGACACCTTTCACCTTCTTTCTGATAAATTAAGCATCTAACTCATGTTCCTTTCTTTAGAATTAGCAAAAGCATATTCTAAGTACTCCGCAGTCATCTAGTCATTAAACATTGTTCGATTTGAGGGCCTCAAAGGCTGGTCTGGGACATCCCAAAAGACATCCCTATGCCCCTGCCTGTTCTCAGTCTCAGATACCTGCTATGGCAGTTAACCATTTCCAACACAGCTACAACTGCCTGTACCAGCAGGTCAACCCATGACTTAGCTAACATGTTCAAGTTTGGATTTCAAGTCTCTGAAGAGGTTAGAAATTTGGAGTCCAAAATAGGGGCCTTAAAGTTCAACTACCTTACCTCTCACTTTCTCAGAATACTCCTGAAAATTACAGATAAACCAATATCTTCATCAAACTCTAATAAGGATGGATTTGTCTCTCTTCCTTCCAGAACCTTCTGCCAACCTCTCTTTAAATCAGCCCAAACGTTTTAAAGCATTTTGTAAAATCCTTTCAACTCAATCTCTTCCCAGCCCTCTGATAATCGCCACATCAGGAGTTACTTTGGAGAGACCTCATTTGTTTCTGCATACCCATTCTCTAACAAAATCTTAGCTAGCTAGTCTCAAAATCAGTTGACGAAAATCCTTGGGTCATGATTTTTTGTGTGTGTCCAACATTCAAAGATTCCTAGTAATCACCGGATGTAGCAGGTGTGAGTTTTTTCCCATAGCACTGAGGTGCAAGAAATGTCTCATGACTGTAGTTAACCCCATTCCATTCTCCCAGGACCCAGGGGTTTTCTGGGACACAGGACTTCCAGTGCTAAAAATGGGCAAACTGAAACAGTTGGCCACCCTAAGTCTGGACAAACATCAGTTTGCAATCCTTTCCCTTACTATAGTATAAGTTCTAAGAAGGCAATGAAGCCCTAGCTGGTTTTGCTCAGTGGATAGAGCATCAGCCTGCGTATTGAAGGGCCCCGGGTTCGATTCCAGTCATGGGCACATGCCCAAGTTGCGGGCTTAATCCCCAGTTGGGGGTGTGCAGGAGGCAGCCAATCAATGATTCTCTCTCATCATTGATGTTTCTATCTTTCTCTCCCTCTCCCTTCCTCTCTGAAATCAATAAAAATGTATTTTTAAAAAAAAGAAGGCAATGAACATGTCTAATGAATTTCTATATACCCATGCCTAGTGCTCCAATAATAAACACTCAATAAATTCTCAATAAACAAACTAATTCACAAACAAATGCATAAATGCATGAAACAGTATAAAAATAGATTATAATAAAAAAATAATAATCCAAAGCCTGAGTTGATCTCAAAAGCCACATCAGCAGTCATTTGAGTCAATGAAATGGAGTGCTCTGCAACGTCCTATTTATTCCTTCCAGAGACCATCCCTGCCAGGCTTAGAGACCATGTCCTGCCCCGGCTGGTGTTGCTCAGTGGTTAGAATGTCAGGTTGCACACTGAAGGGTTGTGGGTTCAATTCCCAGTCAAGGGCATGTACCTGGGTTGCAGGTTCAATCCCATGCTGTTTGGGGCTGTGCAGGAGGCAAGCAATTGATGTGTCTCTCTCACATCAATGGCCCCTCCTCCCTCCCTCCCTAAAAATCAATGGGAAAAAATATCCTCCAGTGAGGATTAACAAAACTAAATAAAATTAAAATAGGCCATGTCCTCAGAGCAGAGGCAAATTCCTCCATGTACACAGATACCACGAATTCTATATAATCTATTTTCAATTTTATGGATTTGATAAGTATTGGGTAGACTTTCTATCATGAAGGTTCCTCAGGAAGACAGCACATCTCCAGGTATAAGCAAAATGTTAAGAAAGAATAAGCTCGCCAAAACCGGTTTGGCTCAGTGGATAGAGCGTTGGCCTGTGGACTGAAAGGTCCCAGGTTCGATTCCGGTCAAGGGCATGTACCTTGGTTGCAGGCACATCCCCAGTAGGGGTTATGCAGGAGGCACCTGATTGATGTTTCTAACTCTCCATTTCTCTTCTCTGTAAAAAATCAATAAAGTATATGTTTTAAAAAAGAAAGAATAAGCTCACATATGTAATACCTTAATCAATAAAGAAAAAAATTGCAGACACCCCCCCCCCAAAAAAAAATAAAAAAGAAAGAAAGAATAAACTTCTGAAGGTACCTATCACCTTCTGGGCCTTCCAGTACTTCCAGAGTTCTGTGCTGCACTGAATGATGACAGTGATGTAAATTGTCCAGAGACTTCCACCACCACCACCACCACCCCAGCACATCCCATTGGGGTAGAACTCTTACTGCCACAGTAGTTTTTTTGCTTCACTGTGTCACTTTCCACTTGTCTTCCACAAGACACTGATATTCCTCTATTCCCTTAATATATTTTCCCCCTTTTGTCTTTTATATTATTTCTTCCAACTTTTCATGTAAATTCAAATGGGTAGAGCGAGGTTGCTATTGTTAATCTTCTGTAGTAGGGAGATTATGTCTGTACTATAAGTGATGGTCACCTCAAGCAAGAGAACACAATTCTGATTCCATGTTTCCTGGAGTTTTGTAGTTTTCCTTGAAAAACTACCACAGAAAATTGCCTCATTTCCGTGCCTGGTTTCAAAGGGCGCACCTAGAAAACCTGCTATGTCTGTCTGTCTCCTCCTTATCCATGTGCCAACCTCTCATCTCCATGGCACATGGCAAAGTGTCACCACTCTGTTCTTCAGTACCCTTCACCCACAGTCATCACCCCCGGAATTCTGACCCTTCTTTTTGTCCTGTGACTGGCTGAGTTGACCTCAAAAGCCCTGTCCCCTTCCCCCACCTTGTTGTACCAAAGATTTCCTCTCCCTGTTCTCCCCTCCCCATATCACTGTGCAGGCAGTTTTGACCACTTTCTTCTTAAACCCTCTCTGGGCATTCCAGAGGTTCCCCTATCAGCCCATTCTACACAAGTCATGCAACACAAGCAGACTTTATCACCCTCAAAATAAGACCTCAGTTTTCACAACACCACACACAAGTCTTTGTTTCAAGACTCTGTTTTAAAGAATTATAATTCTTGCCCGGCCAGTGTGGCTTTGTGGTTGAGCGTCAACCCATGAACCAGCAGGTCAAGGTTTGATCCCGGTCAGGGCACATGCCCAAGTTGTGCGCTTGATCCTTGGTGTGGGGCCATGCAGGAGGCAACCGATCAATGATTCTCTCTCATTATTGAAGTATCTCTCCCTTTCTCTTCCTCTCTGAAATCATTTATTTTTTTAAATATAGAATTATAATTCTTAAAACTCTACATTTACCATTTAGTAAGATGTTAGGTCCCTCGAGGGCAGCAGTTCTCAACTTGTGGGTCACGACCCCTTTGGCAATCGAACGACCCTTTCACAGGGGTCACCTAAGACCATCCTGCATATCAGATATTTACATTACGATTCATAACAGTAGCGACATTACAGTTATGAAGTAGCAACGAAAATAATTTTATGGTTGGGTCACAACATGAGGAACTGTATTTAAAGGGTCAGAAGGTTGAGAACCACTGCTCTAGGCTGAACATCTACTTTAAGGAATCTCTTAACTTGTCTCTGTATTGTCAAAACTTTTTTAAAATATATATTTTATTGATTTTAGAGAGAGGAAGGGAGAGGGGTAGAGAGATAGAAACATCGAATTGGCTGCCTCCTGCACAACATCCACTGAGGAATGAGCTCACAACTGCAACTGGGCATGTGCCCTGACTGGGAATCGAACCATGACTTCCTGGCTCATGGGCCTATGCTCAACCACTGAGCCACACCAGCCGGACCTGTCAACACTTTTGTGTACATCCCCACAGGGGAGGAAGAGGAGTATCTAGGGGCACAGGTGATTCAGGCAGGAAGCCCCTCCCTCGGGGAAACCTTGGCTGGGATTGATCTTCAAAACCGTTCCAAAGACTGAAGATGAACCAGAGTGTATGCATGTCCTTGTTTCAGAAAAGAGAATGGCTGCTGTTGGCCAAAGGGGAACCGCCGAGCCGAGGCCACAGCCTGAGAGAGGCTGCCACCACCTTCTATGTGATCATGCCATCACGCTCCCCCACTCTGCTGGTAAAGGCAGTGGCCACGCGGGAACTGATGCTGCCCAGCCCCTTCCCCCTGCTGCCTGAGAACCCGCCTGATGACAGCCTTAAGATTGTGGAGGCAAGTGGAGCCCAGGTCTCATGAGACAGATAGAGGGGAGAGAAGGGAATTCAAGAAAGGGATGAGGGCGAGGAGTGAGCCAGTGAGTTGAAGGACAGGGAGCTGAGGGAGAAGTGGCCCCAAGGGTGTGGTGAGAGAGTCAGAGAAGCAAGGGTAGGAACTGAGGCCGAGCAGGAGGAAGAAAGCAGTGTGGTATGTTCCCACGGGTCACTCTGCATTGTAAGTGTGCCTGTGTGTGTACCTGTGTTTGTGTGCATCTATTTCTGTCTGTTGAGGGAAAGAGAAAAGGCAGACAATGTAGGCGCCCAGAATAGGAAGGGCTTCAAAATCAGACTGGGGTGCAAAGGGGGGAACAGCTCTGAAGGCCATTTCCTCCTCCTTCTCTTCCTTGGGTCTGGATTCTGGATTTCCTCCACCAGCTGCCCCAGTCGGAGGACAGGAGGGTGGCTCTGGGTGGGGAGAACTGGAACCACCTCGCTGCTGATCACTGGCTTACGTGCAGAGGGGACAGAGCCTGGGATTGTGCTCTCGGCTTGACGGCCACAGGGATGCAGAGAGAGGTGGGCACAGTGGCTGTGGCTCACGCAGCGTCTCACTTCAGGGCCAATGGTTCCTGGCACAGGATGTTGTGGCCGGAAAACCTGACTGCTCAGGAATGCTGTGCTCTCGTGTCCTTTAGTTCTGCTCACCTCACGGCACAGGCAGGCCAGAACTCTGCACTCGCCTTGCAGACTGCAAGCACCCGCAGGCCGGGGACACACCCTCCCTCACAGCCTTGCACACTGGATCCTTTATAACCCTCATGACGCTCCAGAATCCCATGACACACCTCTCGGGGCCAGAGTGTTTAGTGTCCCTAACCAGTCAGGGTTCTCAGACTTCTTGTACCTGTGCCTGACACACACGTGCCTCACAATCAGAGCTGGGGGCCAGAACACCCTGTGGGACACTCATCTATCTCACAGTCTTCAGAGACACCTGAGTGTTCATGCCTCTTACACCCCAAGAGCTCTGCCTGACATCTTGTGTTCTGCAATCTCAAGTTCCTCCTCCTCTCTTCCTCAGAGCTTGCTGGACGGCCTGGAGCTAGAGCCCACCTACAACCCCTTGCAGGTTTGGAGTCACCTGTACTCACACCTGAGCAGGACCTTGGCCAAGCCCCAGAGCCGACTCCACCCAAGCTGGGAGAGCCGGGCCCTGAGAAAGGTACAACTCCCCTCCGTCCTCCCCTCAGTACTCCCCTCCTCCCCCTTTATGCCCAGAATCCAAGAGATCCCCATCTCCCATTACTAATACCCACCCCTACCCCATCCCAGGGAGTAGCCCTCTTCTCTGGACCAGGCCAACAGGGAAGAAAGAGAACACCCCTTTGCCCTAGACCAGTGGTCGGCAAGCCACATGTGGCTCGCGAGCCGCAGTTTGCCAACCACTGCCCTAGACAGAGGAAATTACAACCCCTCCCCATTGAGGGAGCTCTTCTGCAGGGGCTATGACATGATAATGTTCATGTATCTTAGTTTAGTGTTTAGTCATTGTTCCACTATGCAAACCGGCTGCACTGGAACTACAGCCATAGGCCTTCATTGAAAGGAGAGGCTGAAGGGAAGGTAGGAAAAGAAAAGCCCCAGGGAAGGGAAATTAGCATTTACTGAGCACCAGTCATTTATTTGCTAGGCTGTGTGACAAGTGCTTTCACATATAATTTTCTCATGTACTCCTCACAGCATCCCTGCGAGGTAAGAGTCATTTTACAGAAAAACAAAGGGAGTCTGGCCAAGGGGAGAAGCTTGCAGAGAGGGCTCTAGTGACAAAGGTTAAAGAGAGAAGAGTAATTGAATGTGGACAGTTACGTAGTTTTATGAAATTCGTATTTTATATTTGAGCTTCCTTTTGCCCTTAACTTTTTCTAGTTCTGCAGTAACAGAGCCTTTAGAACAAACCCGCCGGCCGCGCGTTTGACATGCTTGCAAACCGCTTTCCCTTAGCTGAAGTTACAAGCGATGTTTCCGACTAGGAGGAACAGAACTCACCATAGGTTAGCTGGTGGGCAAGCTAGCAGAGGAGGGTCACAGCCAGGACCTGTGCACTGTGGAGGCTGGAGTCCAGGGGGCTCCACTGCCCTGAGCCTTGAGGCTGTCATTCCGGATGGGACAAGGGAAGGAGTGAGGGCAGCAGACCCAGAAGGGAATGGGAGAGATCAGGAACTCGGGTCTTCAGAGATGGCTCTACTCAACTTTCTTTTCAGCCTGGGCAGCTGCAGACAAATCGAGTTCGAGCCACAGTGGCCCCTCTACGTATGACTTCAGCCCCTGGCAGAGCCCCCAAGATACCAGCGGCCAGCAAAGCCTCCACAGAAGCCTTCTTGCAGCTTTCTGAGGAGGAGGGAACGGAGGGGGAGGAGGAGGATCCCTCAGGGCCTTAACACAGACCTTGGCTGCCCTGCTCAACCACATCCACGCTAGGGCTCATGTGCCGGTGTTCTGAGGTCAGACTTGCCTTCCACCCACCTGAGCCTCTGTGAGCTCCAGGTGACTGAGAAACTGCCTTCCCCTCTGTTCTCAGTGCTGCCCCCACCCCACTCCTCAGCCTGGGAGGGCACACCCACGCCTCCTGCTTCTCCAAGTGGAGACTCATTTTCTTTTTTTTCTTTTTTTTTGTCGTTTTCTTTTGGGTCATTTGATTCTGTTAACACAGATGAAGATTAAATACTCAGTAAACCAACACCATTGTTAGGAGCATTTCAGGCCCCGAATTTCTCCTTGTAGCTGTGTAAGCAGGTGGATATCAGATCATCTTCGGGAAGTGGCCTCAGAAGACAAGGATGAGGCTTTCAAAGCTCGTGGAAAACAAGCAGGATTGAAACCCAAGCATGATTTTGTAGCCTGTGCCCCTTCCGCTACACCTACCCCATTGTAGTGCCCTTTAGGCTCCAAACATAAAAGTGGTTGGTACTCAGTACCTACATGCAAAGTGTGTATGGATGGGATGGGTGGCGGAGAAGGTGTGAAAAAGATCTATTCCTTTCCTATTCCCTCTCCTCACACCTGTCCACCTTCCCATCTGCCCTCTCCATCCACAGAATAACTCTAAAATGTTTACCTTCTCTGTACTTCAAATTGCACTCAGTACTTGAGAAATTTAACTCCTTCCATATAACAACCCCATGAAGTAGAAACTCTTCAGTTTTCCCAGTTTACAAAGGAGCAGCAGGGGTAACTAAGGGTTGCAGGTGTTATCAAACTCACCCAGGGTCACAGAGATGGGGTCAAGCACAGATGGGCTAGGGACCACCCAACACATCCCTGGTTCTCCTTCTGATCCCCTCCACACCCACCCAGCACACCCTGCTTCTGGGTCCCCTCTGTGACTATTCACACACATAGACCTCTTAAACCCTCTGGCTTTAATGAGAATAAAACTTTTTTTAAATAAATCTCTGGGGGAAAAAATACAGGGGAAAGGATCCAGGCAGTCCAGCATCTTCCTACAGCCTCCATGCAAGCCCCGCCAACTGTACCCACTCTAATCCATAGACTTGGTCCAGCAACTGTCCATTCTTTTGGGGGGATGACTTAGAGATGCTGGTCTCCCCAGGTACCATCCCTGTGCCCCTCTCATCTGTCCCACTTCCAGGACTTCTGGGGATTAATCATCCTCCCCTTGACTCCCCTGATTTGTCTGATCCTCCAGTCTCACACAGGCCCCTCCAGTCCTCTGGGTCCCACTGGTTCAACAGGTTTCTTTGATCCCCCCAATGCCACCTCTCCAAGGTCCTCCTATCAGCAACCCCAGCCTTGCTCTACTTCTCATGTGGAGCCCTCTGACTTGATCCCAGTCCTGTCGGCCCCTACTCTAGAGAGCCCACAGTCCCAGTCCCCTGAGGCCCTGCTCTTCTGGATCTGGCTGTACAGGGCAGTGTCTGAGCTGTGACCTTTGCTGCCACTGCCAGTTGTACCAGGTTCAGGGCAGGTCAGGCGCTGGGGCTTGGGAGCTGGGACGGGCTTTGTGCTCCGAGGGGGAGGCACGGCGTAGTCATCGGTGGCGGGGTTGTAGGGGAGCTCGTAGCCCTCCTCCTTCGCTCGAGCCTGGCACCACCATGCATCCTTGGGCTCCTGAGGCAGATCATAAAGGCCCCGGGCAGAAGCTGCTCCCGGGCCCTCTGGTTCATCATAGATGGGGTCCTCCTTGGGGGTCCGTCAGCTTGGCCTTCATCAACTGCTGCTGCACATGCTCATACAAGTCCCAATAGAGAGTTTTCTTTAACTGTACCCTTCTCCCCTGCC